TGGCAGAAGAGTTCCGTTCAAGTTAGGTGGCGTCCATGCTGTGACCTTGTACTTTCTTGTGAAAAGTATTGTGTCAGTTTTTTCTGCGTTTACGCTTAAGCCAGCGTCAGTCGCCCAGTTGTAAATTAATTTGAGAGCGTCGCTCATTAATGCACTTAGAGTAGATAGGCATCTCCCCGTTATAACTACTGCGATGTCGTCCGCATATGCAATTAGTTTCGGAGCTTTACCATCAAATTGTTTAAGAATTTTATTGATTACCAGTAACCAGAGAAGGGGTGAGAGAACGCCTCCCTGCGGGGTTCCTCTACATGTTTCCCTAGCTAGAGTTGTATCGTTCCATTCTGCCCTTATCTGTCTGCAGCTTAAAAGGCTTGCAATCCATTGATATGTGGCTGAGTCTATACCAACATCATCTAAGCTATTTAAAATAGCTTGCGTTGATACATTATTGAAAGCACCCGCAATATCCAGAAAAACTCCTAGAGCGTATTCTTTGTATTCTAAGGCCTTTTCAATATTAGAGACAAGTGTATGGAGAGCAGTCTCCGTGGATCTGCCCTTAGTATAAGCGTGTTGTGCTCTTGACAGAACTTCAGGAGCTAATTGGTCTCCTATATGTGCTGCTAGTATTTTTTCAAAGATTTTGAGAATAAAAGAGGTAAGACTAATTGGCCTATAATCTCTAGAGTAGAGGTGACCATTTTTTCCTGCTTTCGGAATAAAAATGACTCTTGCCACTCGCCAGTTTACGGGTACGTAATTATGCTTCAGGCATCCTCTAAAGATATTTATCAGCCATGTTTTCATTAGGTCCGAAGCCTTTTGTATCATAGCTGGATAAATACCATCAAGTCCAGGAGATTTGTATGAAGCGAATGATTTGATTGCCCATTCCAGCCTCATGTGAGTAACAATATTTTTTCCTGCGGAGCCTACCATATTCCTGACCGGTTCGGTATTGCTCACAATTGCACAGCCAGGAAAGTGAGTATTAGTAAGATCTACAAGTGATTCAGTGTTAGTTTTTGTCCATTCGCCGTTTTCCTTCCTGACAAGGTTAGCCTAGCTACCTCCACCGTCTTTTCTATACCTGCGCAAAAATCCTTCCAGGAGTTTCTTTTCGCATTTCGAATGTCTTTTTTGTATTGCTTAAGAATATCTCTGTACTCTTCCCAGATGACTTCACTTTCTGCTAGCTGAGCCAGCTTGAAGATTTCGCGAACGTAGCGTCTTTTTGATCCCAATTCCTTATTCCACCAAGGAGGTTGAGATCTACGTTTAGTACGCATTGGCGGGCACGCGATATGGTACGCTATAGTTAGGGCTCTGGTAAGTTGGTCAAGCTAGCTTCCAGATCCACGTAAGAATCAATTGTCGTAATTTTTTTCAGTCTCTGTTTCAGAATTTTTCGATAAAGGTCCCAATTCGTTTGTTTGGGATTTCTTACAACTTTTCTGCTTTTAAGGTACTGAAAATCTATTTGGAAACTAATATATTTGTGATCTGAAAATGATGGTTCGTTAAGAACCTTCCATTCTATCACCTGTACATTATCTTCCGTGAAGAGTGTTATATCTAGAACGTTTCTGGAGGTCGGTCCAACATAGGTCGGTT